AAGTACATTTGTTAAGAACTGACAGTCACTTTATATAAGAAAAGGCATCGGATAGCAGTTTTCTCTCCGTTATGATCTTTTCAATTATCAGAAGCAACTACTAATGATGTAAAATAGGTAGCGGCTTTCATACAAAATCATCAATGTCATTGTTAAGAATTCGTGCTTTACCACAAATGAAGGTGCGAATAAATAATTATCCAACGAATTCTTTATCTGTGACTCACCAATAAACATTAAAGTGGTGAATATGATATTACATTTGGTTGTATGTACTGCTCTATTGTTACATACTGAAATAAAACAGCTATTTAATGTTTATTGTAATCTCACTTCTTTAATATACTATGGATGTATCACTTTTAGAATATACCAAACTACCTGTTGCAAATCAAAATCATTAAATCTAGTCTTTTTAAATGATGCCTTTAAATAATAACAAATGCCAACTATAAACTTCATCATTTACTATAACAATATCAATTATAATAAGCTAATGTAATATTATTTGCATATAGTAAACTAGAAATATTCTCTACAATAATACATTAATGAATGATGAAAATATAAAATAAACATTATTCATTCTAACAAAACTTAATATATAATATAATATATAATATAATATATATATATATATATATATATATATATATATATATATATATATTTCATAATAAAACATACATAAAAGACAAATGATATTCTGATGATTAGTAGTTTATTTAATAGTTATAATTAATAAATATTATACATAGTTGTTTTTCTTCTTTCTTTAATTTATCCAGTCAATCATCTATTTTAGGTTACTAGGTAACATTATTATGATTACATAGGTGAACAATCATTGTCCTTAGTTTCTATATAATACAAGTTCATAATATTGATTTATTATAATAAAAAAATTTACGCCATCATATATTAAAAAACTATATCAATATGAATTAAATGATCAAAATATATTTTATGAAAAAATAAAAACAATCATGTTTTCTATGAAATTAATCTATTAAGAAAGGTTAGTATATCTTTATAGTAAAAGATTATATATTAGGTCAAATAAATTAAATAACTGATTTTGTTAAAGTCATCTGTTTAGATTGCTCACGACAATGATTACAGTTGTTTGTTTGTAATTTATTACGTTATAAGAAAACAAAAAGGTTGTTTTGATCATGAACCAATTGATGTTAGACCACCATTGAAAACTTGGAAGCACTGAACGGCCGTTTCGTCCTATTGTGGGATTCCTCAGCAGTGCGCATCCACGATCCCGCTCGCGGGATTCGAGCTCAGGGCCTTCAGTCTCACACGCGAACGCTTAACCTACTGGACCACTGAGCCGGCATCCAGTGGTGCTAATGTCTAGCCTCAACCAATCCAAGAAGTTGAGCGACCATCTTCCATTGTACTGAGGTAGACACCTTGTTTCTACCCGACACGGATTAGCTCCACTGATCACGACTTCTCACCAGAACTCCGGGAATTTTCTCGCGAAGCTAGTCATTAGTGAGCACATGGTAATTATCAGTTTAGGGGTTGTGGAGATTGTTAAGTATTTTTTATTGAGATCATCAACCGATTGAAGTTAGACTACGATTGAAAAATGTTTTATTAATGATTTGATTGACATACATCTTTATTCTAATTTTTCATAGAAATTTCATTTTAACTTTGTATCTGTATTAATTGACTTTAAAAACATAAGAAATAGGGTGGAAATTGCAATAATTTAATAGTTAAGTTCATAAGTTAATTAAAGTTAGACAATCATAGAAAATGGTCGTCTAGTACTTTTAGATTTTCAATGGTGGTCTAGATTTGATTGACACATGTAGTCAACATTTCAATTAATTACTGAGAAACATTTGAGATTTTGTAAAGTTATTAGTAATGAATTGATAATCAGTACTAATTTTCAAGATTCTAAATGTAATTACAATTCTAATTGCTTCATCGTTACATTAGTTGATAATGATTACGTATTATTCAGATAGGATAGTTATAAATACAAAGATAATATTCTTATATATAATATAGTTTTCCAGTTTTATACATTCTGTTCATACAACATGAATATAATGATTTTTTATGATAAATTAAATAAACTACTTCCAAAAACTTAAAATGTTTTACGCAAACATTCGAAATATATCTTCATAATAGAAATATAGTGAACCGAAAAAAATTGGCAATATATCTCCTGTCAAATACATAGGAACTATCAAAGAATACAGACGGTTAGCTACTAAAAATAATATTCAATAATCTAAATAATTGTTGAGAAGGAAACGATTGATTCGTTTCAAACAAACACATAAATAAAAGTTAATTTAAAATAGATGAAAAGTAACTAACAATGAAATCCAGAATGCGTATTTCTTACTGTTTTGAATTTGTCATATCGATTTTCACCTTCAGTCTGTGATTTTAAACATGTATCATTGGATTAAAACACCATCGCATTATTTACTCACCAACGAAGTCCAAGTAGACACTTACTCATGCTACGAGTATGTGATTCAATTAGATTTGAAATAGTCCAAATTATCAAGTTGTTGATATTTGTGATCAAAATTTGATCAGCCTTGGTTGGTATATATCCCACCATTACGGATTGCCGTGAAATAGTAAATATGATTCAAGTTGATATAAAACAAATAGAATATAGATACCAGTGGAATTTCAGACACACATTTCATCATATTTGAGATTTATCAACATGAATGCACCTGCATCTTATCCATCTATTCTATATTTTCTTATGTCTCATTAGTTATATCGAGGTGATCCACACAGAATGCACACATACTAACTAAGGCTGATCCAATTTCAAAAGGAATATCAACAATGGGATCATTTCAAACTGTGTTTTAGTCAGATTGTATGTCAGAATTATCTTTATTAAAAACGACCAATTTATTGGCTAATATTTTGATATATCGAACTTGTCACACCTTATGTAACTTGATAAAATTGATTTTACGCAGAAAGGATTTGTTTTTGTGACGACGGACTACGGGTGAACTCGAGGAATCTGTAAGGGGCTCAGAAGGAGCCGAAGATGTCACATCCGATCACCTTTCGGAAGAATATTCTACAAATCCTACGTGCAGCTTCCCGATTGGATAATGCTAATAGCCCCTGTATGCGGATTGGAGGACTGTAATGATGATTTCGCTCTTACTGAAAACTATAAATACCTGACAATTTTGTACTATGATTGACACTGTTTGGAATAATATTCATTTCATTAGTCTTCTGTCTTCTTATTGCGACTTAGAAAGGTTTTGGTGTTCTAACGCTCTGTTATCCGCGGAATATCAAGAAATCAACATTCAAGATATAACAGTTTTCTATTATTTTTGCCATTTTCCCTCACCACCATTCTTTAATGAACATGTAAAAATTAAGTCAGATAATCGTTTTCAGTTTCTACATGGTATACTCTATTTCAACGTTCTTCCATAAAAAATGATTTTAGGGTAAAAGCATTCTGAGTATCATTGGATTTTTTTAACAGAATCACCAAGGTTTTCAATATGAAACGAGGTTATCCCTGATGAAGTTAAAATACGTCTCACTTAATCATTTCTATTGTCAACAGCCAGCATTAAGCATTATATCTAAAATGGCTTTATCGAATTTACTGATAGGAAACTCAGAATGAGTTGTAGTGTCAGAGTAGAATCATGACATTTTCAGTACATACGTATTTTAATAAATAAACAAGCGGCGACGATTAACATTTCTATCTTGACATAAATATATCATTTATCCACTTAAAAGACTACAGGTTTTGTTAAATCCTTGGATGACGTTATAATAAACGTAAATCAATAACCAAAAGTATATAAATTCCACACACCTTAGATGAATCTAGCATTTGCAATATATATATTGAATAACGATCAATTTTAAAATTCAGATCAGTATGATTCTATTGAATGTTTGATTAGTATCACGAGAGCTGTAATATCTAAAGATCCTCGACGAGCATACTAAAAATTTTCTAACTAGAGGGAAAAACTGCGTTGATGTTTTGGATTACTGACAGTTCTATAGTTGACGTTACTTTTTGTTAAAAATTAGTAATCTGTAATAATAATACTTAGTAACAATAAGTGCTTAATTTAAAATGTAGGTAAATGTAATCATTACAAACTCTGCCTGTAGCTCTTCTAGAATTACTGCCGGTCTCAAGCCCGGCAAAGGAGGAGGATTGGGCATGGGGTCGGGAACCCCATTCAGTAGAAAAAAATCTTGCTAAGAAAACTCCAACAAGATTAGATTAGATTTATTACAATTTGTTGATCCAAAAACAATACCTAAATAATTAAAAAGTTCGAGGGTCATCTTATATATAAAGCCGACCGTTTTTAATAATCAATTAAACTAAATAATGCATTTTTAAAATAAATGTTATAATAAAATTTTTCACACACTCTGTCAAGAAACCACGAAAAAAAGGCTTATACAATCTTTATTTTGAATTGGTCGTCTTATCCATTCGCCTAAGCATTTTATTTTAACTTTTATTAATATTCAGAGAACGGTTTTGCGGATATTATAGTAATTTAATAGATGAATGCATGAGTCAACCGGGTTTGTTGTGAAATAGTAACTCACTGATAACAATGGTGGACGGTGAAGAAACTTCGTGGATTGGTTGAAGTTAGACATTCACACCGTTAGATGCCGGCCGGCTCAGTGGTCTAGTTGTTAAGCGCTCGCGTGCGAGACCGATATGTTCTGGGTTCGAGTCTCACGAAGCAGAATCCTGGATGCGAATTGATGAAGAATCCCGTACTAAAACGAAACGACCGTCCAGTGCTTCCAGGTTTTCCACAATGGACTAGCTTCAATTGACTCATGAATTAAACTATTAAATCTTCCTAATATGTTACTCACTTGAAATTACCTTAACTATTTTACTGTGTATTACATATTACGCGGACAAAATTAATTTATTTACAATATTTCACTTTTTATTTTTATAGACAATTATCTGGGAGAAAGGACAAAATCCTTTATTTGTATCTACAGTTAGTTTCATGCAAGATTCTAGATTTCGTTTAAATATTAGTGATGAAAATTATTTCAACAATGAAACTAATCATTTCAATATGAAAACAAAATATTTCAAAGAATACAATGAAAAATCTATATTAAAAGGAAATAAGTTATCTTATCAAAATTATTTAGATAAATATAATTTTAAAAATAATTGGAAACGTCGTCGATGGGATTTAATTATTGACTTTGTAACACCAACCGATTCAGATATTTATACATGTATGCTTATGGGAAGAACATCACAAATGATTAGTTACCATGTAATTGTAAACGGTAAGTTACGTCATAGTTTTTTACCGGTTAAAATCAATACATTGGAATGAATGTATATCTCAATAGATATTTTTATTAGTAAACTGTTACAAATCATTGTAATTATATGATTAGTTGACGAAATCAATATGGATGAGACAAATTTTCTAATGATGAATAGTTTTTTTTCTAAACGATTTCTTAACTTCTTTTTTAAATAATTGTCGATAATTATTACTAATTGAAATTGTTGACCTATTGCTATCAGTTATTAATCATTAGGCTGATCAACTTGTCCTTAAAATTATAAGCTTTTAAAAATAATCTTATTTCACGTTATGATTTCATAGATAGATTTTTTTTAAAAAGAGATCTTTATGAACTTTCATTGTCATCAAAAATAAATTTAGTTTTGATTGAGATCATGAATCGATGAATGTTAAAACATTCTTAAAAACCTGGAATTACTGGACGGCCGTTTCGTCCTATTTTGGGACGCCTTAGCAGTACTCAGTTAGACAGTAACATCGTTGGATGCCGGTTCAATGGTCCAGAGGTTGAGCGCTTGCACGCGAGATCGAATGCATTGGGCTCGAATCCCGACTGCGGGATCGTGAATACGCATTCCTGGGCAGTCCCATGCTAAGACGAAACGGCCACCTAGTACTTCCAGGTTCTTACTGGTGGTCTAACATTCATTGACTCTTGATCTCGATTAAAAAAAACTCAACAATTTCAACAACCCCATATTGATAATAAATTTAGGAACTATGAGCAGACTTTCAAAAGTACTGGTCCACTATATATATATATATATATATATATATATATATATAAATTATGACTGAGATGAACAGGATTTTGTTTGTGATCTGCACTTATAACTAGTAATTCATCGTCACAATATTAATCCTATTTGTGATAGACATATTTTAGTACGAAATGCCTAATCTGAAGAGTAAAACGAATGTGTTAGAAATAGACACTTTTAAGTGATTGGTATATTTCTATTCGTAGTAGTTCTAAGAAAGTTCAGAATGGCTAATTGAATGAAGATGTATTTGTATGAGAAACTTGAGCAAAAACTATTGACTTTACACGGTATCATTTGAAAATATATGATTATTAGATTTTGACAACGTGAAGATCAAAGGCGGGTACAAACTAGCTTAATAATTATCTAACCAGTATTATGTATTGCTCTCAGTCTGTACAATTCATTTAGCAACTAAAAAATGACATAAATATATATAATAAACATCAAACGCGTCGGCATTTTAATTTAGTATTTTACATCGGAGAATGTGTAAACTTGTTTCTGTTGTACATAGATAGTAATTATAATTAAATGCTCAAATATGTGTTAAGTATGTATTTAAAACTTTATTACTATTATAACACCACATATTTATCATTTAGTTCATATTTTAAGAAATGTTAACACTTTTACTAGTTGAGATCATGAATCAAATGAACCTAGACAACCATGGAAAACCTGGAAGCACTGGATGGCCATTTCGTACTACTGTGGGACTCCTCAGCAGTGCCTATCCACGATCCCGCCTCGCAAGGTTTGAACCCATGACCTATCAGTGCTTCCAGGTTTTCCATGGTGATCTAGCTTCAATTGATTCATGATCTCAACTATTAAAATGTTAACAAACTTAATGTTAACCTTTTGAAATAGAATAGGTTTGCATAATTACAGTTTACTGAACATTTTAATTTGAAGATATTCAAGATGTTCTAAAATGAAATTCGTAAATGTATGATTATTGAGGCATACTACTTACCTATTGATCAAGGATATGTCAGTCTTTTATTATCATCATAAGTTTTTTTCTGGCTTCCCGGGAGCAATACAAATATCCAGTCATTTAGAACGACTGTAAATTTGTTAGCATACGTAATGAAAAGTAATAAACGTCTGAGCTAGGAACAGTTTTAGCTAGTGAATATCTATAGCTGAGAAGGATTATTTTCATAGAGTTGCGTTCTCATGAATATTAATATTGACAAAACAATCCTTTGACCATCTGTAGAGCAATTCTAATAACTCATTACTAACTGAAATTTGTGTTAATAATGTCCTCTAGAAGAAGTATGAAAACTACAGTATTTAATCATCCAAAACAGAGAATTTAACTGTACTAACAGCATTCTCAGCTGTTTTAAGAATCCAGAACATGTTTCGGTAGAACAGTTTTGGATTTCACTATTTATATTGACAGGCACTGATGAAAAATCTTAACTAGGATATAATTCACTTTGAGTATTCCGGAGCCATCCACAACTGTATGGTGCCAATCTCAAAGTTATGTATGATTTCAGCATTGTATACCAACATGTAAGCATTAAATTGGTGTTAAAAGTCATGTTTTGTCTACATTATTGAACTCTATTTTATTTCTATGAGCCACAAGAGTTTATTACAACGTGCATCTTTTGTTTAGTGCGTTTATATTTAATAGAATTAGATACTATGCCTAAGGATGTATCATTTAAATATTTCATATCCTACAAACAATTTCTCACGTCAACCTTGTTTCTATGAGCGGTCTAGTCACTCACAGTTCTGGGATCAATAAATTGATAAGTAATATTCCCATAATTAATCCAACCGATTCGTGAATATAAGGCGGATGTCGCTGCCAGGGATTCGTGAATATTTTAGTTGTCAGTTGAGTATCCTATAGACTGAAAATCAATTTAAAATCACATAAACAGCATTTTCGGTAACGAAAGTAGCAATTTTAATTTATGAATAAATTCATTCTGTGCTAAATAGATATGAAAAGTTAAGAAGCTCTAACTTCTGTTCTTTTGAGTTAATAAGAATAAATATACTAAAGTAAAGTTTATAAAATAAAAGACTATTTTGTACAATAGCGTATGTAGGAGTAGTCAAATCCCTTTAGAATAATTCACCCATTTGCCTGAATCTCTCTAATTTTATTTAAATACGATTTTCTTGTCATTATTCTCGGAACCATTAACAATAGGTTTGCGCTTATACATCACAAGTTATTTAAACTAATTTTTAAATCACATTACAAGGGTATTTAACGACAAAACAAAAAAGGAAGATTATGTGGATCTTACTTCATGACAACCAGTAAATTGATTCACTCCATTAAGTCCCATCAAAATTTACTCTAGAATAAGTACCATGAACCTAAATATTTTACAAAGAATAGATAGGATGTATCTGGAAATGGAATTCAGAATGCGTATTTCTTACTATTTTGAATTCGTCGATGTACCTATATCTCAGAGTTCACTTTCAGACCGTCACACCGTCGCATTATTCACTCACCAACGAAGTCCAAGTAGACTCTCACTCATGCTACGAGTATGTGATTCAATTAAATTTGAAATAGTCCAAATTATCAAGTTGTTGATATTTGTGATCAAAATTTGATCAGCCTTGGTTGGTATATATCCCACCATTACGGATTGCCGTGAAATAGTAAATATGATTCAAGTTGATATAAAACAAATAGAATATAGATATCAGTGGAATCTCGGACGCGTGTTTCGTCTCAGCAATATTGATCAAAATGTGGTCAAAAATATCAACAACCGAATAATTTAAACAATCTTAAGTCGAATTTAAAATTTTATCAAATAGTTCAAGTATGGAACAAATTATCTCAAAATTTATCGGTTTGACAAGTTAAATCATTTTATTTAACGATAATCTGTCCAAAATGTTTAATTAAACCCTATATTTAAGGCAATTAGTCCCTTTGATAAATTTCGATAATGTAATAAGAAGACGAAGATTATCAGAACTATGTGATATATTGGCGAAAAACATTTCGAACAATCTGATCACAAATATACTTGTTAAGAACATTTATATATAAAAATAAAAGGTCAACTAGACTGGAGATGGGGTAAGAGGAGACAATAAGAGTAATAGTAATGTGAACACAATTTGAAACCTAATCACTCTGGATAATAAGCTAATATTACCATGGTAGGTTTAAGGTGAGGACAAACTGCTTTTGAATACACAAAGGGGGTTTGAATTTTCATATGGCTAAGGCTTCAATAAACCTTAGTATACGCCCTTTAACACTTTTATACAACATCACAAAAGCCGAGTTAAAATCAATCTTATGGCCTGTTTCAATTATACGTTTAACAATAGAGGATGATGCATGTTTATCTCCTACTCTTATTGGGTCACTTCATTGTATTGTTTCTGCATCCATTTTGGTATATGTTCACACACCCTAATTTTGAGATCACGATTGATCCTCCCTATGTATGTGTGATCACATACACATTTAAATGGTAAACACAGGGGGATGTGACACAATCGTTTTCATGTCTTTTAGGTTTTGGATGAAGCATGCACCTTGCTCTTTCTTTGATAATGACCTTTGCTGCGTAATACGTTTTGCTGATGACTGATTTAAGCCTCTGTTTCAATAAAAGGCTATTTGAATCACTTCTGAATGGCAAGGTAATGTAGACAGGCCTTTTTCTACCAAGGCTACAGTAGGGATCAGTGTTCCATGGACTTTCCATCTATTTATGAATTTCAGAGGATAGCCATTTTTCCATTAATGTTTTATTTAGCAACTTAACATCATCATCAATGGTATCATTTGTACAAATACGATCAAGCCAATTGAATAGGCACCTTATCAAACCACATTTGTATTGCACTGAGCAATAATTATATTAACTAAGGTATTAACCTGTCCACGTTGGTTTTCTAAAAATGGATAGTTTGACCGAGCCATTTTCTCGTCTACTCAGAAGTATATCTAGGAAGGGAAGCTGATCATTCTTCTCCTCTTCACATGAGAGACTAATATGGTTTTAGAGAGTGTTACATTCATTTAATAAACAGTACATATCCTCATTTCTTTCACAAACAACTAAGATATCGTCCACATTACTCTTATAAAGTGACATGTTTTCGACTAGGTCATCAGCCATATTTTCAATACGTGCCATGAACACATCTGCTAATAATAGTCCTAGCGGACTACCCATAGCAACCCCAACAATCTGACGAAAGTATTCACTTTCAAAAGTGAACTGAATTTTGTCAGCACATAATAATAGTAAATCTCTAAGAATTTTTAAAGGGATACATAATTTAAGTTTGTTTAAAGATATGTAATCACATAATATATCAATCGTTTTTTTTCAAAGGTACATTTGTGAACAAGGAATTCACATCTGATGAACACATAACTCTATATCTCTACATTCACTTGTAGTAATGATATATGTATGTCTAATTTTCTAATGAAGATAATTTTATTTAGCTTAAATTAAATATTTGATATTCTTAATTGAATTTTATATTTCCATAATTTTTCATTAACAGAATCAGCCTCTAGAATCAATTACAGTCGAAAAAGATTAAGTAAGTGGATTTATCTTATCCTTAAATGTTTTAATAAATTATCATATTGGTTATGTATTATTTTTAATTAGAAATACACCTTTTAGTAATTTCTTCAGAAAAGATAATTGATTGAAATCATGAGTCAATTGAAGCTAGACCACCATGGAAAATCTGCTCATTAGTGATTGACTTCAAGAGATACTCTTGGAGTTCTAGTGAGAAGCTGTTACCAGTGAAGTTCAACCAGATCTGTTTTGAGATATCAACTCACTGATTACAATGGTGTACGGTGGCACAACTTCGTGGATTGGTTGAAGTTAGACATTAACACCGTTGGATGCCGACCGGCTCAGTGGTCTAGTTGGTTAAGCGCTTGGCGCGAGACTGATAGGTCCTGGGTTTGAATCTCGCGGGGTGCGGGATCGTAGATGCGCACTGCTCAGGAGTCCCATACTAGGACGAGACGGCCTTGGAGTGCTTCCAGGTTTTCCATAGTGGACTATCTCTAATTGACTCATGATTTCAATTAGTTGAATTTCTCCACAAACGCCTTCTGATAAAAGATAATTGACTTGTTAACATGGTTGAAACTAGTGATGAACGTAGGATTTAAAAAAAGCTGACAACTTGAACTAATAATTACCAAGCTCTCAATGCCAATTCTGTACCCACCAACCTTAATTCGTCAAATATTGAAAGCCATATAGGAATTAGCTTGTTAACATTTGATTAACATGGATTTATTATTATGCAGCATAAAGCAATCACGGCACTATGATATATTTGACTACTTTAAAAACAAAATCTATAATTTATTATCATAAATCAAGTTGTCTAAGATTTCAAAGGAGATTGACATAGTCAATTAAATGTAGACAAATATGTATATGTAGTGATTTAAATCAATGACATATGTAATGTATGGTGACTAATATGAATCACTAATGATGAAACATAGTCTTTTTGTTATTTTAAATTGTTTTGACATTTAAAACTCATTTACTGAAAGCTTCAACGATTCCCTCTTCTTTTACGATACTATTTTATAAATGCTTCAATAGTTAAGAAACAGATAACGTGTGATTCACGTGATCAGATATCTATGGTTATACGTTTATCAGAAGTAAAGACCCAGTTAGAAATTATTAGTTGAACAGAATAAGTTATTGTAAATCTTTAACAAAACACATCCATCCAGTGTATATTTCTACAAATTTTAAAGGACTACCAGACAATAAGACGTAAGAATTTAATTAATAGTAAATAAATAAACAATGCGATGCAATCTATCAGTCTAATAGTTCAGCCTTAAACCATTATTATTAAATTTTAAAAAAATAGCCAACCATCCTCGATACAACTTTGAAATATGTATTACATAGTTTATACCACATAAATCATTTGTTATTTATATTTACTACAATAACATTGAAGATAATCGGTAATCATTTATTTATTCATTTCCAAATCTATTCAAACCATGTATACATTTCGCTTTTTCATGTGATTTACATTTACGTATATAACTACATTAGATATATGATTGATATTAAGGATAAAAAGAATAGAACGTTAACGATAAAAGCATTTTCGTTCTATATTTTTTAAGCAATAATGAAATCATAAGAGATACGGTTATTTACCTTTAAATGCTTAACTGCTTTCCGAAAACAATTTCTGATTGTCACATGAGATCACCAAAGAGTTGAAATCAAATTACAGTTGTAAATTATGGTAATTTCTAATGTTAAATTAGAATGTGTTTGTTTCACAGTATATAAATGAAGTTAAATAAGATTTCATTACAATAGTATACTATTCATATTCAACAGAAAATGATAAAGAAGTAATAATAGAAAATTTAGGCACATGCATTATAACTAGATGAGACTATAATTTATGAAAGACCTGTGAGAGACGCTAGACTGACCTTGAGTGTCCAATTATTAACAAGGACCAGATGAGGGTTATGAACCTGTGTGAGGAATTAGAATTATGACTCACAGTTGATGAATGAGTGAATGTCGCACCGAAATCCGAGACCTGTTATCTTACACCTGATTGATTCGTCCATAAAGTATAGTCTCGCCTTATAACTGGTTAAAACGAATTTGTTGCATTATGGAATGAGATGATACATTCATTCGAGTTCTTAAGTTAAAAATTTATTGATGGCTCTTTTTAAAGCTCTTAGATATTCTATTAGTTGGTTCTTCTGGGCCAAAACATTCAAATTAATTTATGTCTTAATTAAAATCACCGGTATTCCATTTAAAAGTGCAGCACTGACACAAGACGTAAATTGTTGGAACCACAATAAAATCTTTAAACGTATGAGGATGATATTTAAATATTACATCACCATCAATAACTCAAGGTATATATCCTAAAAAATATGGATATCATAAGTAGAAATAGAAAGGTTTTTTATTGCCATCTATGCGTAATTTCGGACAATATATTTTTGAGAAATATTCACAATATAAGTAATTAAATAAAAAGTGTAAGGCTATAAATTGGATCGAAATGTAAATTATACTATTAATTCACAGAATATCACTCCAGAAATAAAATTAGCAAATACTGTCTTTGTCACTTGTGATCTGACTCAAATTAGATCGTACGATGTTGTCAACGGGCTTGGATTTGACCCCAGTTATATAATATGTTTGGTATACATTGCGATGGGAATATAACACTAATTATAGTAATCGAATAATGTTTATAGGTAGATAAGATGAAAGTAATCGTTACTGATCAGTTAGTAGAGTTAGAGGCATCCACAGACATAATAGAAGTCAGATATTAGGCCCCAAAACTGTCTTTTATTATTATTTATCCTTAAAAATAGTCTTCATATTTGCAAATATCATGATTCAAAATTATTTACAGAACAAAAGTTTAATGCACTAATCAATCACTTTAATTTATCAATATTATGCCAAATGCCCCCGGGTTAAGATGAAAATATTATGTTCTTTCATGAGAAATCTTCGTGAATAATACGTTTTATAATTATTTAGCTATTACCACATTAAGAAAATGACCAATTAGACTCGTACAAATATCTGTATACCATTTGTAAATTGAATACAGTATATATGTTCTGGTAAATAAATTTTGATAATGCAAGGTACCTTAGCAACTATTTTAATTTATAGGTAACTGACCGTGTACAAACCTGTATTTATTTAAATTTTAGTTCATGTGTCTTTATGTTCAAGTATCCTGTACATTGTTTAGTGTCATACAATCCCATAACGCTTGAAATACAACTAATAATTTCAATGACATTACATGTTAGATTGCATTCCTCATATTCAACATAGATCTGAACCTTTCAACGCATATTTATTAATCAAATATAAAACATTTTCTGTAAAATCATTCAAACAAGTCTTTCATTTAACCAATACTTGTTCACTGAACCTCTGGAAATTAACATACAGCAAGGGAATATAGCTCATTAAATATTAGAACATTAAGGCAAATGATACATATGTGACATTACTTAGACAGCTTTTAATGGTTATCTCTTTACTATGTGTTACTGTTTGCAAGAGGACTCAACCATAGAACCTTTTATTCCAAACGTTAAACGACTTTATTGATGGAGCTGCCGAGCTCAGATAACAACAATATGTTCAAAAGTTATGAACGTATTGGTTAAGGTTTATGATTTATCGTTATTTCTGTCCAGGACTTCAATTGATCGTGACTCACTAATAGTTTACTATAGTTTAATAGCATATATATGATGCATTATGAGCACACTTAGAGGAGATATTTTTTCAAGTTCTTAAATATATATATATATACAACTGTAATAGGTTAACCGGCCTTTATTTATCATTTGAATTTTAGACTGTTCCTTTGACGTATATTGTTAATTATTCTATACAAGCAACCAAACCTGACTATTTTCTAATAATATACACTAACAACAGTAATGTAACTCAATAATTATATACACATTTGTGTATGGTATTCGGTTTTCAAAACAAAAACGGTTATAACCTCCGGCATTTAGCTACCAATTATACGTTCGATCATTTTTAACCACTAAGGAGTATAAAACTCACTAAGACTATGATACCTTACAAATAATCGAATTCAAGTGTAAAACAACTTTTCTCTCCTGTTAGTAAAAATATTCCAGTACACTATTTTATACATCTCATTATAAATTCAGAATATATAAGAATTAAAAATACCAATGTTTTTCTAGATGAATACATGATGGAGAAGATTTGTAGCTTAGATGGATGATTCTGATAGAATTTTGTTCTCTGACCTGAATGGTTTGGTCGTGGAGCCTTCATCATTCTAGTGAACGAAATCATCAGCACAAATTTCAGGTAAAAGTGAAATGTTCGAATTTCTACACATAAGCCTCACAGCTTGTCCCTTAGACATCGATGTTAATTGATTATTGTTGACCATTTGATTGTATCTCGAGTTGATCGATGTGAGTTTTAAAGTTTTTGAAACTTCTCTGATGTCAAGAATAACCAAGCGATATCGAAGTCTATAATACAATTTATGGACCATATTTGAAGAAATTCGAACACTTCACTTCTAGTCGAAGTTTGTGCTGATGATGTCATTCACAAGAATGATGAAAGCCTCATGACCAAACCATTCAGCTCAGAAAACAAAACTCTGTCAAATAGGTAAATACAATTTTCGCTATCTAATATATATGATAAAGTTATTTTAAAAAATACAAATTATTTAATGAAAATGTATATTTTATGATTATCGAAAGTATACCATAATATTTAAGTATGATCCATGTATATAAGAATATAGAAATCAACAATAATTGAACAAACTATAAAAATTCCATATAACCATTTATAAAAATTAATTTTTCCCTTATAAACCTTGTTTACTTTGGTAATAATAAAGAGAATAAATAAATTTGCTTAACAAAAAAAAAGAAGAACCAAATCGAAGAACAGAGATCAATATGAAACATAAAACGGATCATGTATTTTCAATGTGATAATTATTGA